TATATATATGTGTGTATATATATAAATATGTTTATATATGTGTATATATGTATATCATTTCATTATATATGTATGTGTATAATTTTTAAATTTTTATTTTTATTTTTATTATTTTATTTTTATTTTATATTAATTAATATTATTAAATATTAGGGATTGATGATGTGGCAGATGACTAGGATACCATGTCAACATTAAATAATATATTTTTTTGTTCAGGGTTTTATTTGCCAATTTTTAAAAGTATAGAGTTTTAATTGTTAATTTTTAAAAGTATAATGTTTTTTTGGATAAAAAAAAAGTATAAGATTTAAATTGCGACGAGAGAAAAGTACAGGGTTTTAAATGGAATTATCCTTTTATATTATAATAATTATATTTTTTAGTTTATAATTTTTAATCATTATATATATTTTAAAATAAACAAATTAGTATAACAAAATATTTTTTAATCAAAAGTTTCATAACAGTAAACTAGATTTTAACTTTTATTACTCTTTAAAATACAAAAAAATAATTTATATATATACATATATATATTAAAAATTATTGTAATAAATAATATGTTTTTCTATTTTTTATAATTTAAAATTTTATCTATTAATTAATATATTAATTTGTTTTTAATATTAATTAGATTAAAAAATTATAAAAAATAATAAATATAAAATTGAACAGAGTCTCTCAAATCCCATTAGTCGGCTCTGTCCAAAACCCTAGTCCCTTGTCACACCTCCTCTTCATTGAGGTTTTACAAAGAACAACGACGAGAAGATGACGGAGAACAAAAGGGTTTTTTCAGGGACTGACTTTTCCGACAACGATGAAGATGTAAGTTTCCCTCTTGTCTTATCTATTGGATTGTTTTCTTCAGTCAGTTGTTGATATTTGTCTATTCGTGTTTGCGATTTCAGAGTTTGTCCGGGTCTTTACATTCCGATGATTTTGATTCCGACGTTTACGACTCTGAGGCTGAGGCGTCTTCGTTGAGAGAGACAGAATCCGCAGATGAAGAATCCTCCGGTGACGAGGTACATGGTAGTTGCTCCTCTCGTGCTTTTTTGTCACAGCTTTTTTTTCTTTGATGGGGGTGTTTAATTTTGATATTTCATGCATCAAAGTTCATTGCTTTTCTTTTTCCAGATATTTTTATGGGCGAGTCGATCATAAAGTTCGGGTTTTTAGCCGAACCCATTAGTTTACTTGCGAACATTATTATATTGGATTGGATCAGGCTAGATTTTCCACGTTTAGGGTTTGCTGCTCAGATCCTAACTTTATTATAGAAATGAACTTGTGGAAGTTTAGTGTCATAGTTAGGTGGGATAAAGCTTTCTAGCTCAAATTTTGGAATGAAAATTCAGAATAGTGCCTGTGCAGGATGCTGTTGATACAGACAATGTGACAGATGATAATGAGGATGGAGATGGTGTCAAGGGCGATGACTTGGACAGTGACCATGGCGAGGAAGGTGAGAGTGAAGGCTCTGAGCCTGATCAACCGCCGGAGGAAGAGAGCGATTCTTCTGAAGACGAGGTTGCCCCAAGGAATACAATCGGAGACGTTCCCCTGGAGTGGTATAGGGATGAGAAGCATGTTGGATATGACTTCACGGGGAAGAAAATAACTAAGAAAGAAAGACAAGACAAACTCGATTCCTTTCTTGCAAGTGTGGATGATTCAAAGAACTGGTGAGTCTTGACTGTAGTTGAATGTTTCGTTTGCTTCAGGACATGCCTATACATGACATAATTCTTAGCATATGCAGGCTGTTCATAAGTTCTTTAAAGAATTTTGATCTGAGTGAGACTTTTGGTTAACTGTGGGTTTTAGGCGCAAAATTTATGATGAATATAACGATGAGGAAGTTGAGCTTACTAAAGAAGAGACCAAGCTTATTCGTAGAATGCTCAAAGGGGAGGCGCCACATGCTGACTTTGATCCATATGCGGTATGCTTTTACCTTTTCTATTATCTCCCACAGTGATATACTGATATTATTCCATCAGTCTGTTTGACTTCTGATTATTTTGGTTTAGCCTTATGTTGATTGGTTCAAATGGGACGATGCGAAACATCCACTGTCAAGTGCGCCAGAACCGAAGAGGAGATTCCTTCCTTCCAAATGGGAAGCCAAAAAGGTATCATATCATCCACCTTCTTTTTGAGCTCACAGTTGATAATTCTGGTCAAGTCTGATCATTTTCTTGGTAGCTTTAGTTGATATGACACGGAAGCTACTAGAATGGGGGAAGTCATTTCAACAGTTATTCATATTGATCTGACATATGTTTATTCTGAGTGCACAGGTTGTTAAGTATGTTCGAGCAATCCGACAGGGCTTAATAAAGTTTGACAAGCCGGAAGAAGAGCCCAATGTCTACCTCTTATGGGGTGACGATTCTAGATCCGATGAAAAGAGCAAACATCTATCTTATATTCCTCCACCGAAGCTGAAATTGCCAGGTAAACTTTTATTGCACCATCTAGAACTCTCTTTTTTCAAATTTTTACTTTCCTTGTGGAAGCATTTTAAATTCTTGGTCTTTGTGAATTGGGTTCCAGGGCACGAAGAATCATACAACCCTTCATTGGAGTACATTCCTACGGAGGAAGAAAAGGCCTCCTATGACTTGATGGATGAGGAAGATCGCCCAAAATTTATTCCCAAGAGGTAAATGCAACTTGGGTGATAATTTTGTTTGATCTGATATGTGTTCTCTTTGAATTTGAGGCTTCAGCATTCTGGTCAATTTTGGCATAGGTTTACATCTCTCAGAAGCATCCCAGCATATGAGAATGCACTGAAGGAGTCGTTTGAGCGTTGTTTGGATCTATACCTGTGTCCAAGAGTTCGAAAGAAGCGGGTAAGTGAGAAATGTATGAGCTGAAAATTTTAATTACGCCGACATTTAATCTAACGGAGGTGTTTCACTTAATATGTTGCAGATAAATATTGATCCTGAGTCTTTGAAGCCCAAGCTACCTAGTAGAAAGGATCTTAGGCCTTACCCTGTTACCTGCTATCTTGAGTATAGGGGTCATACTGGCGCAGTTACATCTATATCTACTGATTCTTCGGGGCAGTGGATAGCTTCAGGTTTGAAGCCCTCTAACGATCTATGTGATCTCTCTGTTTCCGATTTAGCTGGCTAGATAATTTGTCGGTTTTGCTAATCTTGTGTACTTTATCTTCAAGGTTCAACTGATGGCTCGGTTCGTGTATGGGAGGTGGAGACTGGTAGATGTCTTAAGATTTGGGAGTTTGGTGAGGCTGTTCAGCGTGTAGCTTGGAACCCTCTTCCAGAACTTCCGATTTTGGCCGTCTCCATGTACGTTTTAGGTTATTCTCATTATACGTTTCTTTTCCTAAAACCTTCTCGGTTTCTTGTCTCATACAAAAACATAACATATATGCAGGGGCCCTGATTTAGTTATTCTGGACACTGGGCTTGGGAATGATGAGGACCAGAAAAAGATTAAAGAGTTGCTGCTCTTGGAAAAGCCTTCATCAGCACCAGACGATAATGGTAGGTTGGGAATGGCTGTTATGCATGGAATTTTCCTGTAAGAACTGAAATCTGACATATTAAACCGTTATATATTTTGCACGGTAGACAACATGGCATCGATTGTGAGCTGGTTTCCGGAGGACAAATATGGAGGGATCAGGCTAAGACATTTCAAGGTTCTTTTTGCTATCCTCTATAGTTTACTTATTGCTTCATTTTCCTTTGTATTTCCTCTATAGTACTGATGTTTCTCCATTGTTCAGAACGTATCCTATGTTGAATGGCATCGGAAAGGAGACTATCTCTCAGCAGTTATGCCTGCAGATATCCTTTGAATCATTTTTTGTTCTTGATTTATTCAGTTTTCTCGATTATGCTTCTCTTTGAGTTAGAATATCCTCAATTATCGAAAAGTGTTGTTTCGATGGGTTTCTTGACCTAATATTACGTGAAACTAGAGGGATTGTCGTGCACCAGCTTTCCAAGAAGCTTACGCAAAAGATACCGTTTAAACTGCATGGACTTCCTGTGTCTACCCTTTTCCATCCGAGGCTTTCCATCTTCTTCATCGCAACAAAGAAGAATGTCCGTGTCTATGATCTGCTGAAGAAGAGGCTCATCAAAAAGCTCGAGACCGGATTGCGGGAAGTCTCATCCATGTCCATTCACCCCTCTGGTTTGTTTTTTTAATCCTCGAAATTGAGTTTTCTAGTCGGTTTTCCTCTACCGGGTATAGCCTCATTGTTGATTTTATCCTATCTCCTCAGGTGATAATCTTATTGTGGGTAGTAAAGAGGGAAAGATATGCTGGTTTGACATGGACCTGTCAACTAGACCATACAAGACTCTAAAGTAAGTGTTCCCACCTCCAAACAATTTTTCGATTTTTCTATCGTTTAACAAGACTCACTCGTGGCACTGAATATTTTTCAGGAATCATCCGAAAGACATCACCAACGTGGCATTCCATCGGTCGTACCCGTTATTTGCATCGTGCTCGGATGATTGCACAGCCTATGTCTTCCATGGTATGGTTTACAATGATCTGAACCAGAACCCTCTGATAGTACCCCTGGAAATTCTTCGAGGTCATACTGCCTCAAATGGACGAGGTGAGTTCGAAATATCTTTCTCCGGGTTTGAATTTGATGTATATATAAATAACAAAAGATCTATCTGTCAACCGAGGCTAACCCGAGATCCATTCTCCTAGGAAAATAAACGTGTAAAATGTGGAAAGTTACTAGTTGGCATTCATTGCAACACTAACTATAATCTGTCTTTGATGTTAGTTCTGTCCTTAAGCTCCTCCTATCATCTTTGCTGATCTAAGAGAACCATGAAGTTATTGTGCATTTTGTAAGAGTAGGAGGTTGATGATTTTTCGGGTTATTGCAGGAGTGTTGGACTGCAAGTTCCACCCGAGACAGCCATGGCTATTTACAGCGGGAGCCGACTCGACCATCAAACTTTACTGCCACTGAGTTCATTAGCAAACACTTGTGGGTTCACAGCCTCAAGATGGTGAACGAACTGGCCTATATCTCATTATCCATTTTTGTGCTTTGTATTTGGTCCATTTTTCATGCCCTTGTGAGATTTGCCATAAAATAGATTATTCATTCCAATCGTCGCCCCGTTTTGGTGTTTCATTTTTTGTATCCTGAGTGACTTGACCCCTACAATATCTGCTTTTTGGAGTAAGAAATCATTAAGATTACGCTGAAAAGCCACCGATTATTTTTTTTTTTATTAGCAACAGAAATTGAGTTCTAATTAACATTTGTAAGGTTTAGTAGCAATGAGACATGAACTTGGAAATGGCCTGCCATGTTGTTGTTGTTGGTAACAATGAGACATACATCATAGAGTCACCAGGACATACTTCAGCAGTAAAACAGTACACAGATTGTTCATTCTGTCATGCTCCTGAATGGATGTGCTCTTTCAGACCATCAATTGCTTAAAAGGATGACTTCAGGAGATCATGCCTTTAGCTGTAATATTACTCTGAATCCATGCTTCTTTCCGCTGCATCTCACAAACTTACGCTGACATGGGCATTCGAGTTACAGTGGCTCTTGTCCTGACAAGCCTAACTAAACAGAGAGCCGTTTCTAGAATTGCCACTGACAATTTGGCTTGATCTTCATCATCAGTTGTGGGCCTGAGTAAGAGAATAGGTCTCGTCATCCACATCGATTTTGTCCGTTCTCATCATTTCAACGATGTAAAAAGATGGTTTCCCGGCCTTTGCGTGCATTCTGAGCAATAATCTGTATAGCTCTAAGCTTGAAAGACCGAAACAACGCAATTGCCTGGCGTATGCATTAGCTTCTTCCAGTTTCTCATGCTTCTCGAAGTACTCAGCAATGGACATTACGAGCTTTTGAGGCGGTCTCCAATGGCAGCGCTTCATCAGGTCAAAGGCTTTGCTCATCGCATCAATGGCTTTTGTCATGTCTTGACATTTCACCCACCCCTCGATCAGAATTTCCCACGTCTTATAGTTTGGCTCCCCGCCTCTCCGCAATACACGAGCATGAAAGGACTCGCCTTTTTCCATCAAACCCTTCCGGGCATAAGCACCCAGTAGAACATTGGAAACCCTAACGTCATAGTTACGGCAATTGGCCTCCCATTCTCCAAAGATTCTTTCAGCCCTCGTACGATCACCTACCTTCACCAAGGATGACAATACACATATGTAATTTGCACAAGTAATCCTGCCATGAACAGATTTCGAAGCTTCCCAAAGCCGAACAACTCCCTCCTTATTTCGTAGAGAAGCATACAGTGTGATGAGGAAGAAGTATCCAAGACGATTATTGTTGTTCAGCTTCTTCTCCGCATTTTCAAGAACCAGAGTAGCCTTCTCATCAAAACCCGTTTTCATATAAACGTTTGCTAAAGTACATAAAGTGCTCCAGCCCACTTCAACACTCTTATCACTCACCATTTCTCTGTAAACAGCTTCCACAGATGCAACCCCATACACTTCACCACATGCGTTCATCCACAGATTGTACGAGAGGACATTTCTTGGGATCTTGTTTCGTTTCATTTGCATGATCACAAGGGGAACTTTCTCGATCTGGGAAGTAGCTGCATACAGTTTCATCATCTCATTAAACGGGTGAGGATCAACAAGAAGCCCCAACCCATTCAACTTCTTCATAAGAGCTTCGGATTCGTGAACGAACTTTTCCTTAACATAAGCACGAAGAAGCGGAAGATAAGCTGCTTTCACCACTTTCAATGGCGCAGTCTCGTGTAGCTGATCAAAATATTCCTCGGCTTTCTTCAAGCCGCGAACTTTGATAATTGATTCCATTCTAAGAGCGTGGTCATACGACGAAACCTGAACACCTTTCAGGGTCTCCTCCATCCACTCCATCATCTAAACGATGAGAAGAAACATCACTAATCCGTACTAATCATCCAGTAATTAGAGTAATTAACTTCCTAATGAAACAATTAAGTGATCAAAGCCTTCCTAATCTCAATCGACTGACAAAGAAAGGAACGATATGTTTCCACAAACAGAAGCAGTAACGCATACCTCTAGGGCGAGATCATAGCGCTCGGATCTCATGAGCTGTTTCGAGATTGACCGGAGCTCGGAGACGGAGACGACACGGCCGGAGTCAACCCATTCCTGAAGCGGAGCGGAGATGCTGCCTCGTCGAGTGATCCTTCTCAGAATCTCCCTCACCCCAGTCTTAGGACAATCGGAACCAGTTGAAGAATTCTCCAAACCAGGTGACGCGCGTGAAGACACGAGCCTCATGAAGCTGAGGCTCGTCGTCTTCGTCGCCCATCGAAACCCATGCATGTACCTCGATGTCACCATGATCGGTGAGAGGTGAAAGAGGATTAGAAAACATCGCCACTGGAGCTCGCGAGGGCAAAGTACGGATTCTACGCCGACGAGAAAATGGGCTCCCTGTCAGGCCCAATGACGGCGTGATAACAGAGGGATTATGGTTTTTGACATTTTGTTAGAGTGTGCGGTTCGGTATTCGGGTTCTAAGGTTCGGGAATAATTCCGTTCGGTTGATTCAATTTTACAAAAATATGTATCAATTCAGTTTAATTCGGTTCTCATTTTTATTAAAAAAATTTAAAAAATTAATAATTTTTCAGTTTTTTCAGGATTTTTTGAAATTTTCGATTCGATTTAGTTCTGAAAAATTCGGTTTTCTAAAACAATATCGTTCAGGAATTTTAACGATTCTATTCAAAAAAAATATTTTATTTTTTTGGTTTGATACGGTTCAGTTCTGAAACCGTTACCCCCATTTATAGATGTTAATTGGGTTGGCCTAATCTATTTAGGTCCAACCCATTTGGATTTTAAAGATAAAGGATTTGATTGTGTTGATTCATTAATAACAACGAATTGGGTTGGATCAACCTACACCCCGTGTAAACTATTTAAATCCATTTATATATTCATATACAATTTATACTTATGTATAACTATATATTCATATAAATTAGGGATTGACATTTTAATATTCAATTCAATTTATTCGGTTCAATAAAAGTATACAAAATCAGATATTATATTATATTATATTCGGTAGTTTATGGAAAAAGTTGTATATTTTCTTAAAAACATCAGATTTTTTCGATTTTTTTAAAATTCGATTCGATGTTTTAGAAATAATGGCGTTTAGATTTTTTGAACGGTTCGGTTCAAAACGTCAACGAGATTTTTCTATTTTATTCGAGTTTTTTTAGTACGATTCGATTCAGAACGGTATCTAGTTTTTTAAACGATTTGAATTTGTTGGTACGAGTCGATTCAAAAACGACATCGAGTTTTTCGGCACGATTCGATTCGAAAACGATACCGAATTTTTCGATACGATTCGATTCAGAACGGTATCAAGTTTTTTTTATATGATTCGAATTATTCAGCACGATTCGATTCGAAAACGACATCGAGTTTTTCGATACGATTCGATTCGGGGCGGTATCGAGTTTTTCGGTACGATTCGATTCGAAAACGATATCAAATTTTTCGATACAATTCGATTCGAAACGAAACCAAATATTTCGATTCAATTCATATATATATATATACACATCTATGTACGTTAATATTTATATATCTAAATATAACAATTTTAATTAATTATTTTAATTAGTTACAAAATAAATTTAATTTTAATTAAATATATAATAGGTTTAATGTGTTAACCATTTAATCTACTAGATAAAAACCGCACGATGCAAGAGATTTTAATATAAATTGTTTGTTTTTTTCATTATAAAAAAATTATTGATATAAATATAATATATATATATATATATAATATAAAGTTAAATTATATTATTAATCATTATATATGTTAAAGAAGTAAAAGATGAAAAAATATAAATATAATCGTATTATCATGTAATAAAAATATTTTTATATATACTTTGAATTTATAAGTTTGTCAATGATTTGTTTTGGATGTATTTATTCTATATTTACTATTCTTACATGTGTTCAAAAATATTTTTTTGATGATGTTCAGTTGTGAATTCATATAAATCTTAATAAGTGATATTATATAAAGTGATAAAATACCTGAATCATAAAAAATATTAATTAATTTATATAATTTTGATATTATTTTATATATAATATATTAAGAATTTATGATTTTATATAATTTTTATAATTTCAATTGATAATTTTTAGATTTACATCAATAACGATTATAATATTAAAGTTAATATTCAATTTATTTATTGTGAACAATTTGTGAACAGTTTTTGTTGCAAAATAATCTCATAAAAAAATTTACAATATTGTTAGTTTTTTAGACAAAAATTATAGGATTTTTTTTTTAAAATTAGGTAAAAAATAAAAATTCCAAAATATATATTTGAATATATTTTTTGATTTATACATGTGATGAAAAATAATATAATTAGAAAAAGCCACTAACTTATTTATAATTTATTATGATTTTTAATAAAAATATGTATAATTTTACTTAATAATATAAATTGTTTGTTTATTTCTTTATGAATTATGAATGTAGAAAAAATTGATATATATATATATATAATATACAAATAATTATATTATTAAATCATTATATATATATATATATGTATTAATGAAGTGAAAATGGAAGAATATAATTATCACCATATTGTTAAATAATAAAATTATTTTATATGTATAGTAAGATAAAAATAAGAGAATATATTAATTCGTTTTATTGGGTCATATATAAAATTTTATATAAATGTATTTTAGACGAGAGACCAATATGTTTAACACTCCTTCCATTGGTCTTTAAATGTTCTCTTTATGTCTAATATTCTTTTTTATTTTAGTCATCTTCAAAGAATTTTTGGTGTTTTTAATTTATATTATTTAATCATATGTAAAATTTGTATTTTTAATTTTGGGATAATTCCATTTAAAACCCTGTACTTTTCTCTCGTCGCAATTTAAACCCTGTACTTTTTTTTGATCCAAAAAAACATTGTACTTTTAAAAATTGACAATTAAAACTCTATACTTTTAAAAATTGGCAAATAAAACCCTGAACGAAAAAATATATTATTTAATGCTGACATGGCATCCTAGTCATCTGCCACATCATCAATCCCTAATATTTAATAATATTAATTAATATAACATAAAAATAAAATAATAAAAATAAAAATAAAATTTTAAAAATTATACACATACATATATAATGAAATGATATACATATATACACATATATAAACATATTTATATATATACACACATATATATAATACATATATATATATATATATGTTTTATATGCATATGTGGTATATGTATTTTTTTT